TTTTTTTTTTTTTTTCCGCTTTACCATTTTTTTGTTTGCTTTTCAAGTTTGAGGATCGTATTTGTTCCTATCACTCTATTTACATATTGGAGTCCTTGAGTGGTGAAAAGGATCAATGTGCTTGGATGCTTACTGAAAGGCAGAAAGAACTCACCCAAAGATAACTAAGAAGAAAGATCTGGTGATGCACTTTCAAAAAATCAGCCACAGAAAACCCTATGGAACAGAGATCTACTCTGACAAACATAGGGTTGTCATCAGACAGAACTGACTCACACAAACCGGTTTTTACTGGTTATTTGTATATTAAGGGAATCTTTGTTCAAAGAGTTACAAATCATCATCTATTGAAGCAGTTGTAATCCATGACTCTAGCCAGCATACTGGATATTTATTTGTTGTTGTTGTTGTTGTTACGTACCGTTGAGTCTGGCCTGACTCATAGCAACCCCTCCTTGGGTTTCTGAGGCAGTATCACTACGGAAGTAGATTGTCCCATCTTCCTTCTGAGAAGTGGTTGGTGGGTTTGAACCACCAGCCTTCTGGTTAGCAGTCAAGTGCCTTAGGAACTATGCAACCAGAGCTGCCTGGATTCTTATAGTAGGTCTCAAAGCCTTATCTAACTAAACTGCAAGTTTGTGCTGCCTTCAACTGCCCTCTTTAACACTTTAGCATATCCAAAAGTGTAGACTATACCTCTCAGTGCCACCAGGACTCTTTTCTGGAACATTGTGGCCAGTTATCATTCCAACTCATCATCAAGAGTCACCATCCTTTTTGCTAACTTTCCCAAAACCCCAGAATCTTAAGCTCCATGAAAACTTAAAAAGTTTTTTTTTTTTTTTTTGTCCTTCCCACAAAAGACTGAGGAATCATGAATCACCACCTGCCACATATTTCATCGCACACAGTTATGTGGCTCTTGAGCAACTCCATGCACAATACAACGTCCATGAATAAATCATTATAATGACTTCATCAAACTAAGCTCTAAAACTCAAAGAAATAGATGACAGAAATGAAGATTTAGCTTCTGCAGTACTGAAAGCTGTATATTGTTTTTATGTGAGGTAATATTTCAAGGCCATCTGTGTAGACAGTCCTATAGTAACATATTTCTCATTGCATGTCATGATGCAAAGTTTGAACATTTAAAAATGTAGAGCTGGAACCTTGATGTATCACATGGTCTATTTACTTCTATTTCCATCTAACCTCCAATTCTTGCCTTCTCTTTAAAGACAAAAAAAAAAAAAAAGATTAATGGACTATTTTTGCCTAGACTCTCTATCAAACTTGAATCTTGAGATGTCTTGTATTGAGAAAAATATATCCTTGATATAATAATCTTACCCTGATAATCTCTAAGTAAGCAAGATTTGGTTCTGAATCTATTTATATGTTGATGATGTTGTTAAGTGTCTGACTCATTCTCAAACTCACTGCCATTGAGTCAGATCTGACTCACAGTGACTCCTCCTTGGGTTTCTGAGGCAGTATCACTAAGGAAGTAGATTACCCAATCTTCCTTCCGAGCAGTGGCTGGTAGGTTTGAACTGCCAGCCTTCTGGTTAGCAGTCAAATGCCTTAGGCACTGCACCACCAGAGCTCCCTGCCTGACTCATGGGGACCTTATATATGACAGTATGAAACACTGCCTTGTCCAGCACCATTCTCACAATATCTGTCCCAGCCACTGTATTAATCCAGCTCATTGAGAGTCTTTTGCTTTTTTGCTGACCCTCTACTTAAGTATGATATCATCCTCCAGGGAATGATTCCTTTCACATGACCAAAGTATGTGAGACAGGGTCTAGCCATTCTCATTTCTAAGGAGCATTCTGGCTATACTTCTTCCAAAACAGATTTGTTCTTTCTTCTGTGAGTCCATGATATTTTCTTTTCCAACATCACATTGTAAATGTATCACTTCTTCAGTCTTTCTTATTCACTGTCCAGCTTTCACATTCCTTTTGAGGCTATTGGAAATACTGAGCATGGTTTAGGTGTACCTTTGTCTTCAAAGTGACATCTTTACTCTTTAACACATGCAAAGTCTTTTGCAGCAGATTTTCCCACTACAATACATTTTCGGATTTTTTGACTGCTGCTTCCATGGGCATTGATTATGGATTCAAGTAAAATGAAATTCCTGACAACTTCAATCTTTTTTACACTTATCTTGATGTTGCTAACTGGTCCAGTTGTGAGAATTTTTGTTTTCTTTATGTTGAGGTATAATCTATGCCGAAGGCTGTAGTCTTTGACCTTCATCAGTAAATGCTTCAAGTCTTCTTCACTTTCAGCAAGTAAGTTTATGCCATCTGCATATCACAGGTTAAGAAGTCTTCCTTTAATCCTGATAGTATGTTCTTAACATAGTACAGCCTCTTGGATTATTTGCTCAGCATAAAAGTTGAATAAGTATGGTAAAGAATATACAACCCTGACAGACACACTTCTTGATTTTAAACAATTTACTATCCCCTTGTTTTATATGAACAATTGCCTCTAGTTCTATGTATAGGTTCCTTAGGAGCACATTTAAGTGTTCTGGAATTCCTATTGTTTGCAATTTATCCATAATTTGTTATGAATCATACAGCCAAAGGCACTTCATAATCAAAAAAACACATGTAAACATATTTCTGGTATCTTTGCTTTCAGCCAAGAACCATCTGACATCAGCAATGATATCCCTCATTCCAAGCCTTCTTCTGAATGTGGCTTGAATTTTTGGCAATTCTTTGGCAACATCTGTTGCAACCATTTTTAAGTTATCTTTATCAAAATTTTACTTGCCTGTGACATTGATATGGTTTGATAATTTAAGCATTGTGTTGGATCACCTTTCTTTGGAATGAGCACAAATATGGATCTCTTCCAGTCGACTGACCAAGCAGTTGTCTTCCAAATTTCTTGGCATAAACAAGTAAGCTCTCCCTGCATATTATTCATTTGTTCAAACATCTCAATGAGAATTCTATCAATTCCATGGGACTTGTTATTCACAAATTCCTTCGGTGTAGTGGATCTCTTCCTTCAGTGCCACAGGTTCTTGATCATGTGCAACGCTTTGAAATGATTTAACATCAACCCATTCTTTTTGTTAAAAAGACTGTGTATTCCTTCCATCAAAGAAGCTTCTGGCATCATTCAATATTTTGCCCACAGCATCATTAAGTATTGCAACTTAAGGCTTTAATTTTTTCTTTAATTCTTTAAGCTTAAGAAATGCACTGTTTTTTTTTTTGTTTGTTTGTTTGTTTGTTTGTTTGTTTTGTTTTCTAATTCTAGGTCTTTACATATTTTATTATAATTCTTTACCTTGTCTCCTCTAGCTGTACTTTGAAATCTTCTGCTCAGATCTTTTATTTCATCATTTCTTCCTTTTGATTTAGCTACTCTCTATTCAGGAGCAAGTTTCAGAGTCTCTTCTGAAATCCATTTTTGGTCTTTTCTTCCTTTATTGTCTTTCCAACGACATTTTGCTTTCTTCATGTATGATGTTCTTGATGTCATTTCACAACTTGTCTGGTCTTCAGTCACTGGTGTTCAATTCATCAAATACATTCTTCAAACGGTCTCTAAATTCAGGAGGGATATACTCAAGGTCATACATTGGCACTCATGGATTTGTTTCAGTTTTCTTCAGTTCAATTTTAACTTGAATATGAGTAATTTATGGTCTGTTCCACACTCATCCCCTGGCCTTGTTTTGACTGATAATATTGAGTGTCTCTATTACATCTTTGCACAGATGTAGTCATTTTGAATCCTATATATTCCTTCTGTCAAGGTCTATGTGTATAGTTACTGATTATATTATTGAAAAAAGGTATTTGCAATGAATAAGTTGTTGGTCTTGCAAAATTCTATCATGTGGTTGCAGATGTCATTTCTTTCATCATGACCATATTTTACAATTATTGATGCACCTTCTTTGTTTCTCACTGTCATACTCTAATCATCAGTAATTATTAGTACATCTTGGTTACATCCTCTACTTGTATAGAAGAGAGAAAAGAGTACAAATTTGATGATGTTTGTTCCTTTCTAAGGAAAATTTTCTCCTACAAAACATCAATGTTAGGCTTACCACAAATGCATTTATAATAACTCTGATGTATTTAGGAAAACAAAATAACTTTAATTCAAGATGGAAAAGTAGTAAGCGTATATGTGTATTTTAACTTCATTATTAAAAAAAAAAAAAAAAAGGCCACAAAAGAGAGTTAGGAATTAAGGG